GATTGGTGATCCTCAAAATTTTTTGTTGAGTGAAACGATGAATTGCTTCGAACAATAGATTCAGTATTTTATTTCTTCTCCCATTTTCTGCGAAATCATTCAACAATAAGGCACAAACAACCAAAGGAAATACTAAACTGAAAGAAGAAAAAACTAGAAGTGCGATTGTGGAACGTACTGCTTTAAGCATAATATAGAAATTGAAAATAATCTGATGGGGTGGAGAAACTGAAAAGAACTTGTGAAACACTGAACTGAACAGAACTGTAGCAAAAAAAGCTCATCCATGAGTACAATTCTTTTCGTAGTCAGATTTGATGTTTTCTCTTGCTCACAGCCCAAAATCACTTTGTATGCCTCAAATGAATGAGGAATTTCTCGCAGATTTATGAAGCAACGCATAAATGACTCATAGAAATAGTTTTTTTGGATCTTGAATAGATCTTGATTACTACTCATTGGACAATAAATAGGCGTATAATGAGACAAGGCGATAAATTATTGAAGAACAAAGAATTTATATTCAGTAATCATTTTCATTCGTGGCAGGTTTATGATTTCAGTAAAATTACATTGGGTTAACGATTAAAAAGGTCGAAGTGAGTTGTTTCAAACAACATTGAAAAAGTCACTGAGAAATATTTCTTATTCCACTCACTACTCATCGAAAATGCATCAACATTGCACTGATAGTGAAAGTTCATTTCGAAGGACGTTTCGTCTGTCGTAATGAGGCGATTCTCTGTNAGCAATCATTATTGATGGACGATCGGTCTTTTGTTGTTCACAGAAATTGCCAATAATTACGCCAATTTCCATCACGAAAAAATGAAATGCATGGCAAAAGAAATGAGAAGGTGAGCGCAAGAGAAAAGCATTCATTTCAAAACGTATTTCCAAGAAGTAGTTAATATATAAAGAACGCATTACTAGTAATAATTCGGTGAACATAGTAAAGTAATCATATAGAAAGTGATACAGAAAATCATTTCATAAAAAGCTGAAGTGTCTTCTAATATGAGCACCAACCATCTTAACTTATCATAAAACATCAACACGCTACGATACTAATGTGTTCTGACGGGATAGCTTAAGTGTATGTGTTTGTAAACTTTAAACATTAATGCACTTACGCAACCCCTCTTCATTTCAAGAAGTACTCAAAAAGATATCAAAAGCACTCTCGGAGATGCTTAAGAGAAAAAAAATAAGAGAAAAAAAAGAAAATGAAATAACTTATAAGAGAAACAAAATGAAATAACCGTTTATACACATTAAATCCTCAAGAATTTGACAAAACACATTCTAAAAACCAACGAACAAAGACAATACAACATGAAAACCAGCATCACGAAAGATGAACGAGCTATTTGTTGAATAAGTTATTGAATTATCTCCTTAAGGGACAAAAATAACGACAAATTCTCGACAATTTTAAGACAAACAAAAATTTTTTATGATACAAAAATTTCGGAACCCTGCTCCGATGAAAAAAAAAAGAAACATGTCTACATAAGCATGAAATAGTAATCAACGTAATGTAAAAAGTTGAACCTAATATGGAGACAATTGTGAGGTATAATGCATTGATCTCACGTATTTCTCCGGATAGCGCTAAGATAGATGGGAACAGCTGGTTTTGTGAACGGTAACGCGTTGATTTTGAGCGGTGGTTCCTGAAATTGAAGAGATCACTGAATTCATTAAACTTCTTAATGGGTTGCATTAATCCATCCCTTGTGCAACTGGAATCATTAAAGATTTTCACCGCAATCACCCTCCGCACTTTCTCTTCGAACATTTAAATTCTATTGATCAATGAAAAATTTTTTTGATCATGTGTGATTATTCACTGCAATATTTCTGCTGAAGTCTGTGAGATAAGTCGCACCCTAATTTTGTGGCTAAAACGAATTCTTCGTATGTTTCAGTCTTCATTCTTCGTTATGCCCTTAGTCACGAATGTAGACAATGATTAATTGTGAAAATCAGCCAACTAGATCAACAGAAATGAGAGATGTAATTTCGATCTTACTGGTGTTTTTTGGTTGGCGACGAATTTGAAACGTTTCAACATATTGGCTAATGCCAGTCGCATTTCAAGTTGTGCAAATCGCATTCCGATACAGTTACGAGGTCCGAATCCGAACGGTAGA